TTGTTGTGTTGTTCCCTTTACTGTAGTGTGTTATATAGGTTTCTGTGCATGGGCATGGTCAGAAGGTTCTCTCCCACTCACTCCGCCCGAGGACTGGGACATTTCCGACACCTCTCTAATCGACTGACCAATCACAATAGATCCCACCAGCTAACCAATCAGAGCAGACTGGGCTCTGGTTTCAGACAGAGGGTGAAAAGAGGTGCTGCAGCACAGGCAGTATGAGAAACATAAAGAGCTTTTTGAACATTAAAGCATGTCACAGTACAATACAAATATGAACCTGGAAATTAGCATTATATGTCCTATTTAATAGGATTCATCCATTTTTGGTTTTGGTCTTTTCATGGGATTTAATAATAAATAACATCCAGAATATCACCTCACTTATCCTATAAAGAGATATGTCCTCATTCTGAATTATAGCATCATAAAGTGAGTCAGTAAATATGAAAAGAGGGTAGTTTTTCAGTTTTCTGTTCACCAGTTTCCACAGGCAAAACATGCAGCTTTTTTTACGGAGGATTCCATATCCAAGTGTTGGTATCTTTGCACTTCAAGACTATCTAATCTCAAGCAGAAATGTTTCAATCTAAACTTTAATTGTATTTCATTCATCCGTTGTTATTTCATGGCAACTTCTACCACCATGTGTACAGTGAGGTCAAAGGTCAGCTACATATATGCCCCTGTAGCTTAGCATCTTTTAGCTGTAAATATTTCTTATGTTAATCTGGGAAGGCTTATTTATTATCTTCATGTGGACAAAATAGCTTTCACTCGAATAAAGTAGTGAGATGGTTTTTTTTCAAGTAGTGAGGTGTGTTTTTATGACTTTAATTATAGTTTTTATGTCTTAAAAGATAATGCTGGGTTTGATTTAAAGAAATACAAATAAGTGAATGATTTACACCCTGAGAAATGTTTGCAATGTAAGCTCCTGGTGTCTGGGTAGGGTTAGGGTTAGGGTTAGGTGTTAGGGTTAGGGTTAGGGTTAGGTTAGGGTTAGGGTTAGGGTTAGGTTAGAGTTAGGGTTAGAGTTAGGGTTAGGGTTAGGGTTAGGGTTAGAGTTAGGGTTAGGGTAAGGGTAGGGTTAGGGTTAGGGTTAGAGTTAGGGTTAGGGTTAGGGTTAGGGTTAGGGTTAGAGTTAGGATAGGGTTAGGGTTAGAGTTAGGTTAGAGTTAGGGTTAGGGTTAGGGTAAGGGTTAGGGTTAGAGTAGGGTTAGGGTTAGGGTTAGGGTAAGGGTAGGGTTAGGGTTAGGGTTAGGGTAAGGGTAGGGTTAGGGTTAGGGTTAGGGTTAGGGTAAGGGTAGGGTTAGGGTTAGGGTTAGGGTAGGGTTAGGGTTAGGGTTAGGGTTAGGTTTAGGGTTAGGGTTAGGGTTAGGGTTAGGATAGGGTTAGGGTTAGGGTTAGGATAGGGTTAGGGTTAGGGTTAGGGTTAGGGTTAGGGTTAGGGTTAGGATAGGGTTAGGGTTAGGGTTAGGATAGGGTTAGGATAGGGTTAGGGTTAGGGTTAGGATAGGGTTAGGGTTAGGATAGGGTTAGGGTTAGGGTTAGGGTTAGGATAGGGTTAGGGTTAGGATAGGGTTAGGGTTAGGGTTAGGATAGTCTGGTTAGGGTTAGGGTTAGGGTTAGGGTTAGGGTAGGATACGCATTGCAAACACAAATATGCCATGAGGCTGTATTTAAAAAGCTTTTTTATTTTTGTTGAGTAATGTAAGGATTAGATTTTTCTTTCTTCTCAAGCTCTTGCAATCGTCTCTGTGGTGTGTAAATATTGCTGGACTTCTATATAAATATGTCTGTTTTGTCACACTGGCTCTGTGGCGGGACATTACGGTCAAGATGTAAATAATACTTCTACACCATGGGAACTGAACTCTTTCCATGGGGGAATAAATATGTAACTTAACTGATATATTTTACACTTTTCTTTGGATGGATCCAGGAAGTGTTTATACTTCATTTCTCCTTCTTTCATGTGTATTTGAGTCATAAAAAAGCAAATGTCAGTGAAGCATTTTGTACTCAAAAGTGTGAAAACAACTGTTTTTTCTCTGTTTAAATGTAATGTGACTGTTTTAATATAGTTTCCCTCTGTGGTCTTTATTTATACATTTGAAAGTTTCTTTATGGTTTAATAGTAATCAGAATGTATTTACTAGTTTGTTTTATAGTATAATCGTCAAGTCTGCAGTATAAAAATGTCAACTCCCCCTCACACACAACGTTTTTTAAATCCATCCTTATGAGGGATTTGTTATCTTCCACTACCTTGAAGTTACAATATGTGGTAAAAAAAATATGTGGCAACGACTAATCCAAACCTATACATCAGCTGACCTTGACCAAGGTCTCGTACCCTAACAAACACGAGAATCTTTTCTTTTTTTTCTGCAGGATATCCTGTCTTGTTTGTGACTAAAACGACACTTTTCTATTAAAAAACAGAATTAAAAAAATAAATATAAAAAAGTAGGTTTATGAGCGACAAGACAAAAGCACAAAGAAAACTCACACATTCATTGACATAAACAGTTGTACAATCAGCACACACACAACACACACACACACACACACACACACACACACACACACACACACACACACACACACACACACACACACACACACACACACAGTACCATCCACTTTCCTCTCTTTATCTCTCACCAGATTCCTCATTGCATTCCTTGGCTCTCAAAAAGAAGAAGCCGTAAAGCCAGATAAAAAAATGAAAGTCTTTTCCTCTCATGCTGTTACTTCTAATTCCTTTTCCACCATTTGCTCCTGCTTTCAAATGTTTTACCCTTTCGACCTTCGGCTTCACAATAGCTTATGAGAATACATTTTAGGGAGGAAATGTCGTCAGTAAGATGACAGTTAACAACACTCACATGCATGAAAACAATAACTCAAAATGTTCTCAACCAAAAGTTAGTTTTTATGGAGGGATAAAGCAACAGAGCCGAAAACAGACACAGACCGATGGAGGTACAGATGGATAAAGAAAGATACAGCAATGTTTCTTTTGTGAACTTTTATCGTAAGTTTAGCCAAAGTGTTAGTGTAAATCAGACAACGTGTCCGATTCCCTCTGTGGAAATCCCCTGAAACTCCCCAGGGCTCTGGTGCTATATCTCAGCTGTCGGACAAAGCCTATATCTCTCATCTCTCGCTGTGTGTGTGTGTGTGTTAGTGTGTGAGTTTTGGTGTTTCATCTCAGTCCCAGCCTCATGCCGCTGAAGGTCTTTGAAGAGAGAGAGCTGGTCAGTGTAACTGGTTTTGTCCACTTTTAGAAGTCGCATAACATGCTGTATCTAAATGTTCTACTTAGAGCAGATAATGAAAACATGGATTAGGGCCCCTTGAAAAATACTGAGGATAGAAGAACCCATCTTGAGGTTGCCAAGTACAGTAAAAAAGAACTTTTGTAGTGTTCAGCGAATAAGAATTACACCTTACTTATTTCAACCTGCTAGCAACTAGCTCAACTTGATGTTTTAGAAACAGCAGTAAAACTAGCGTGCTAATTATGTAGCCTGTTTGCTAAAAACAACCCAAATTAGAAATGTGAGAGCAGCTATAATAGATATTTTGGTGAAAGGGGTTGCTTAAAGTGAATCTTAAGAAAGTTGTCACCCAAACCATTGGTTAGCTAATTTGCTATATTGTTCTGGTTTGAATATTTTTCAGGCGTATTTGCAGCAAAAAAGCTTTAAAGTCACAATCTTGAAGATCTTCATTCTGTGTTTTTTCAAGGCACCAAAGGCAATACCAAGTTATTTCTGGTGTGTTCTTGGATCAAGCTTTCCCTGAAATGTCGCCGCAGACGCCCAATTCGTAATACAATAAATGCAAGGGCTTTCACAAGTGGGCAAAGGCTCATGAACCATTGTGTTGAGTAGTGAATAATGCCTTAACAGACAATCATATACATTAAAATCTGTAAGATTGTTTCTTAAAAACTAAACCTCTCTGTAGTTACTGTATTTTACCCAGCTAGCAATTCAGCGAATAAGAATTACACCTTACTTATTTCAACCTGCTAGCAACTAGCTCAACCTGTTGTCTTAGTCACATAAAGCTAGCGTGCTAATTATGTTTGCTAAAAACAACACCCAAAATAAATGTATTAGCAGTTTTTTTAAAGGGGTTTCTTTAAGTAACCCTGAATAAAGTTGTTACCCACACCAGTGTAAGCTAAACTGTTATGGTTTACTTATAGTGACATTTTAGGTGTATTTTGCAGCTAAAAAGCTTTTAAGTTACAATCTTGAAGACCTTCTTTCCGAGGTCTTTGACGCCACCAATGTCGATAGTGGGTATTTTCTGCTGTGTTCTTGGATCTTCCGTTTCCTTCCTTCGTAACTCCACTTTAGATGTGAGTATAATTCAAAAGATGTCATCATTTTCCGAGATACACATTTTAAAAGGGAAGGAATAAATTAAAGTAAACTGATAAACATTGCGTAAGTAAAGCAGCATCAGAGTAGGAGGGATGAAAGAAACTGGGGGAAGGAGTAAAAGACAGAAAAAAAAGAGACATCCTCTGCGGTCATGTTGTTCTGTGGAGATGATACTGTGGATGTTTAGATCCTGGTACGGCTCAGTACAACCCATTCCCACACACACACACACACACACACACACACACACACACACACACACACACACACACACACACACACACACCACACACACTGGAAGTGCTCAGTGCAGTTTGTTTCTCAAGAGGCTGCATTCCTTCTCTTACTGTCAAATACTCGAGTTACTCCAAGAGGATACATTCTGACACGAGCACAGCAAAGCCACAGCAGGAGACATTTATATTAAAAAGTGATGAGTAAACAGAAAATATGATAATCTTTGGGTATTTAGCCTATGATTTCCATCATTCTTAAGATCTTACTTAACATCAGTAACATAATAATGACCTTAAAAAGAGGCGATTGGCATGCAGCCTTCACCTGCAGCTTCTCTGTGTTTTTCATCGTGTG